TCCACCACAGCTGAGGCAGGTACAAGAATCACAGTCAGGAAACATGACTTTTTAACTATTGAGGAAGGAGACAGAACAGGAATGATAAGGAGTGGCTGCAGCCATCAGCTGTGCTGAGAGCTGATAATTGAGATGTGTGGGACAAGAGCATGTGTGCCTGGAGGATCTCTGTCCTCTGCCAGCCAGGCACAAAGCACATCCTTTCCTGAGTTGCTGGTGAGCTCCCCCTTATGCTCTTTAGGCAATTAAAGGAGCTTAGAGATAGGCACGGTAGCCAAATTCAAAGGCTGGAGAATCATCTTTACATATCTCACATAATCTAAATAGTATCTGCATAAGAAAAGCTGATTAATCTCAGTTAAATCCAATGCAACCAAAGAAAGCATTTAAATAAGTTATTTAAAAGAAATCACTCAAATGAGTAGTATTGAAACCCATCAAATGTCTGGATGCAGAGAGTCCTAAACCCGAATTAAATCCCACTGTTTCTCTGTGTTTACCAAGATTAGCACATGTCTTTTCTCAAGGAACACATGGTCTAAGCGAGTTGGTATTTAACGGGAGAAGATGTTAATACCTTCAATTACAACAGCATTTCATTATCCCATTAAATTCGTTATGAGAATGCATTAACTCTGATTCCTTGCCAGAACGCTGACAGCCTCCTAGTGCTCTCAGTGCTGAGGAAATAAATGTGCTGTGTGGCATTAAAACCAGGAGGTGTCATGACTCCTCTCCATGTTCACTACTCCTTGCTTTAGCTCTCTAGCCACTGCTTAGCCCAAAAACTTTAACTGTGTGAGCTCAAATGAAACTGTGATTTCTGTCATCCTTTCCCTGGCTGGATGCTTTGGCTTGTTCATGACCACGGAGCACCTTTCTGCATGTGCAACATCACCCTGATGGCTTCTGCTGCTGTGCTGGGAGAATCCCAGAGCATCTGCAGTGTTCACCTCTCTGCTTTGGTCCACTCTCTTAAATGTCCCTTGAGATCTTCTATGGTTACTGCGCTGCAGAGAGGGAGAAAAGACAGCAACACACACGGACCTCTTTTGGGGAAAAAAGGCCAATTTATTGTACGGACAGCCCGTATTTAAAGTGTGATACGTGCAGCTAGGACAGGATAGAAATTCATCAGACAATTGGGAAAAACATCCCTGGGACAGCATGTCCGGATGTCCCACGGGAAAGACACCAGGTGTTAATCTTTATTATGAATTCCACTCTGTTTTTCACCATGTTATCACCCTGGGAGACTTCCTCCCTAACTGAAGCTGCAGTCAGCTTGTCAGCCTGGGAATGGAGCTGAGAGTCAGGAGAAATCGAGGCCTGAAAAGAATTTCCAAGCTGTAATTCCCTAGCTCTGTGAATGTGTGTGTCCACAATCTTCGGGAATTTAAAGCACTTGATGCTTTGCTTTACCACGGACAAATCTCTCTTCCATGACTCTTCAGCATGACTACTGTCTTTGAGGAACTGAAATTTTAGAGAGAGTTTTGAAATAGAATGATCTTCACTCATTGCAGGCATCATTTGGATGTTAAGAAACAGTTCTTCACAGAAAGGCTGGGCAGGCATTGGGAGGGGCTTCTCAGGGAGGTGGTGGAGTCACTGTCCCGGGAGATGTTTAAGGAAGGACTGTATGTGACACTCAGTGCCATGCTCTGGTTGACATTGTGGTGCTGGTCACAGGTTGGACTCAATCTCAAAGGTCTTTTCCAGCCCAATTTATTCTATGATTGTCTTTTTAATGTTACTCCTCGGGAGTGAGTCCTGTCCTGCTGTGTTTGTATTGGGCAGCATCAGTGTCCCCCTTGAGAGAACCTGTGACCAGCAGGTGAAGGTCACAGGTGGCTGAGGGGCTTTTGCCACACAAAGGAGGCAGCCCAGGTACCACAGGTCTGTGTGCCAGGTGAGGCATCCACAGCTCTGCTTAGATCAGGCTGGGCCCACTTCTGCTCCATTCTGTACTCAGATAGTGCCTGCTTTGAGATCCAATTATGACATCAAATGGCCTTGTTACACCTGTACACCTCCATCTCCCACACTCAGAACAAAAGCAACAGGAATTATTATGAGGCTTACATGTGGAAGCAGATCATTTGTAAATAAACACCTCTGAAGGAGCTTATCAAGGAAAAAATACCCAGAAAAGCTTTGACCTTTATACAGAAATATGAATTTAGATGTAAGGAAGGTGTTCAGAGATACATTCTTCAGTTCTAAATGTTCTCCTTAACATTTGAGGAATAAAGATGTTAGCATGCTTATGAAATTGATTCATTTTAATAAGAGTAATTTTAAAGCTACACAGAATATTCTTGAAAGAAAGGCTTTTTCTTTTTTTTTTTGTGTGCCTGGGTAAAAGTTATTTCACTTTTATGATGCAGTTTACAGCTTCTGGTTAAGGATCGCTGGGGTCATCCTTTTTTGATCAGAAATAAGGCACTTCTCTCTTCCTATAGATGGGCTTTTCTACACCTGAATGACTGGGAAAGCTTTTTCTCTTGCTATAGTGCTACTCAGGTGTTTGAGAGGCATCTTGCTTTTAAGAGGTCAATTGTGTAATTGTTTGTTTCTGACACAAAATTCCTTGTGATATGATTAGTCCTGTGTGTACTTTCACAGTGTGCAATTAAAGACAGGGGTAACAAATTCTGCAGAAGGCACAACTCCAAGTGACAATGCTCCATGGCCAGAATATAGCACAAAGGCCAAGGGATGATGAGCTTCAGCCAGGAGGAGAGACAGGAGCAGAGCTGAGCCCTGGCTGGGTACAGGGGGAGCACAGAGAGCCATCGAGCCCGAAGGTGAGCTGGGTGTGCTGGGGCAGCCCTTGAAGAGCCACGGCAGAGTCTCACTGTGTGACAGTGCCGAGCCCACATTTCCCTTCAGATGTTTCCTGTAATGTTTATTTTCATCCCAACCCTGCCACAATTCAGGCAGGATTGGCACCTTCTCTTATATTACTCTGGCTCCCAGTGCCCTCCTGGGGCTGGAGCCATTCAGCCCTCCAGGAGCTGCTGCTTCACCCCCCTCCTGACATGGGAGGAACAAGGGGATGCTGGACCTTTAGCACTGTCCCCAAACCCTGCCAGGCTTGAGGTCTGGGCCAAGGTCAGCTGTGCAGGGGCAGGGGCACAAGGACTATTCCACAGGGGTGGATGGGGAGGGCCCCACTCCTGCTGCCAGGACCCCCCAGTGCTTTCCTATGTCCTCATCTGTCACCCCAGTCCCCTCCAGCACCACCTTTTCTCTTCAAGTGCAGCTGCACAGGGTGTGCTGCTCATCACTGACCATCCCAGCTGCCAAAGGTGCGTTTTAGGCTCTCAGCCCATTTCTGCACAGGCTGAGGAACCCTCTTCTTCCCACCACTCGTGGCAGGCTGTTCCTGCTGCCAGGAAGCAACAGCACATCTGCAGATGTCACTTCCAGCAATGTGAAACCACCAGCTGAGTTGAGACCAGCTGTGGAACCTCTCGGCTTTTCAGCCTTGGACATTCTTGACAGGGCAAGGGGGAATGGCTTCACCCTGCCAGAGGGCAGGGCTGGATGGGATATTGTTCCCTGGGAGGGTGGGCAGGCCCTGGCACAGGGTGCCCAGAGCAGCTGTGGCTGCCCCTGGATCCCTGGAAGTGTCCAAGGCCAGGCTGGATACTGGGGCTTGGAGCAACCTGGGATGGTGGAAGGTGTCTCTCTCCATGGCAGGGGTGGCACTGGATGGGCTTAAAGGTCCCTTTCCACCCACACCATTCTGGGATTCCACAATTCTGTGGCCCCTGAACTCTGTCCTGTCCTGGTTGATTATTTTCTCCCTGCTTTAATTACCTGCAGTTCATGCCTTTCTCTGCGCACTCCAGCTCTGTTCTGCCCAGGCCTCCAGGTGTTTGTGAGAGTGAGCCTGGCACAAGGTGTGTGCTGCCAGCAGAGATGTGCTGTCCCCCAGGGCCCTCCCTTGGCTTCCCACGGGATCAGGAAAATCCAACACCCTAATGAGCCCAGTGCCATGAAAGATTCCAGAGACCAGGGCAGGATTTCCCTGCCCAGCTGGGACTTCCCTGCTGTGTTCTCAACTTCTGGTTATTTGTTGGAGGGTGCTGTGGGGCATTTGTCATGACTTCACAGGTCATTGCTTCCATGCCTGCCAAGGTAATTGCTCCTTCCAGCTGTGACAACATTTCCATCTATTTCTCCCTGAAGATCTCAGTTCCCTGCATGGTGCCGCTGCTGGGTGGCCACTTGCCTTTCTGGGAGAATCTGGGGGGGCTGATCGGGGGCTGGGGTGCAGAAGGTGGGTGACTAGGCTGACCCAAAACTGGGTTTGGTCTCAGCCTGTGCAGACACAGCTTCCCTCAGCCCCTGAGATAAGTGTGCAGGTGAATTGAAGGTGTATTTCCTCTTCTACCAAAACCTCCAGATGTAACAGATGTGCCAGGTCTGTTTGTCTGGCAGCAAGGGCCATACACCTTTGCTGTTGTGGGGTAGCTGTGCTTTGTCAGCAGACTGCTGAGGTGCCATGGGGTGTCCTACACCCCTCAGCTCCCCAGGTAAAGCCCCACTGCAGCCCCTGCTGGCACTCAGGGGCTCAGGCAGGACTGGATCCTCCTCCCTGGATCTCCACTGTGCACACAGGCACTCAGAGGGCACTGCAGCACCTGGGAGCAGTGTGAGGCTGTCCCTGATACGCTGCTGGTATCGAGTTGAGCTGCACCTGGGGAGCAGAGCAGCCAAGGCTGTGGGACCTCTGTGGGGCCCGATGAGCTGCAGTGACCAAGGGCTGGGGGACATACACCTGGAATGAGGCTGAGGGGACTGACTGTGGATCAGAAGGTGCAATGGATGGTGAAAGGTTTATGAAAGCTTTATGAAAGGGACCAACAGGACGGGCTGGGCTGTTGAAGGTGAGGTAGGAGAGAGTTGAGTACTTGGAGCAGAGGCTAGGGGGCTGGGAAATGGGATGGAGGAGGCAGTAGGGCTGTGCAGGAGGGACGTGGGATGAGAGGGCAGGTGTGGCCCTGACTAACCCTGAGGGTACTGCCATCCACAGACCTTGTGCTGTCTGTGCAGAGCTCCCAGCCTGGGTCTGCAGGCGCACCCAGACCCTTCGTACCTCCCAAAAAAGGTCCCTCACAGGTTCTGCCATGGCTCGTGTCCCCACAGCCCCTCCAAGCACTGAGACTTGTTCACACACTGCTTGTGCTGAGCCCAAAGCACCTGCACCCCAAAGCTCCTGAGGGGGACCAGCAGGTGACAGCACCTATGTCCTGCTGTGTGCCAAGTGTCTGAAATGAGACAAAAGGTGAGAGTTACGCTGCACAATCAGTAGAGTAGATAAAAGCCTCTGACATTTTTTTTAATTGGGGTGTTGGGAAAATCTTATCAGCTCTAAGATGGTTCTGCAGTTTTGTGTAAGTACCTCATCAAAGTGGTAATGTATTCTAATTATTTAGCAGAGCCCTGGCTGCCTCATGAACCTGTAATATTTTGTGACATGACATTACAATGAAAATGTATGAATAATAATTTTTCATTTAAATTACCAGATGTATGATCAAGTTTTTTGTAGTATTATGGAGGTTTGGGGTAAATACTCCATAAATATGTAAATAACTTGTGCTGTTGCTGCATTGAGTAATTGCAGGAGGACATGGATTGTGATACAGATGAACCAAGGGGGAGCACTCCAAGATTTTGTGTCTTTTGGGCACATGGCTGGGGCTACCTGATTCTTGCATTTGCTCCCCAGAGTGTGGGCTCCCTTTGAGGACACCTGAAACACCTTCTCAGGTGCTGCACCCTTTGCAGCCACTCTTCCCACCCAGCTGGGGATCTCTCTGTGACACCTGGATGGCAGAGCTGCCTGGTGTGGAATCCTCCTGGGGATTCATCATGGGCTGGGAGTCACCGGGTCCATCCCTGCTGTTTTTGTGAGATTAAATCTTCTGAAGAAACTCTTCTTGCTCCTTCCCCAGTCAGCCTGGCCTTGGGGCTGATTGCCCTCTTTGACAGGAGACCCACTGAGCCCACAGGAGAGAAGTGAGCACAAATCCAAATATTTTTTCACATCAGCTAAAAAGCAAGATATTTTTCCTTGGGGAAAAAATGAATTTGGTTTAGCTTATTTTCCTAAATTGCTTTCTAATTTTTATCCAGTTCAAAATAAGGCAGAATGGGTAAATGAGGAAGCAGGTGTGCAGATTCAAAAGCTCCAGTTTCCACCATTTTTTCCTCACCTGAGTGTGACCCTGAAAGCCTCCCTGCCCATGCTGTGCCAGAGCCACTCTGGCCCTCCAAGCCCATGTAGTCGCAGGCAGGAATGCAGGTGCTGGACCAGCGAGCCTGGACATCATCTATGTTTTCTGTGCCTCCAGCTGGTACTTCCATGGGGTAATACAGCACCTGGAGCTGCTGAGGATCAGGGAGGAGCTGCAGACACAGGACTGGGCATGCTGACCCCCAGTGAGTCCCTTCTGCCTCAGGAACTCTGAGGACCCTCTTCACATGGCTCCTGAGCCATCCATCACGTCGGTGGCCCATCCCTAGTTCTCCCTGCCTGGAGCAGTTGGTCTGTGGACACAGATGCAGGATGCTTCAGTCTTGTCTTCTCTTTGCCTGGGAACAGGAGCAATGCTCCAGGTCTGCTGGAAAGCAGTGGTTCATGGGATGTCCTTCTCCATCAGCTGGACAGGGAAGCTGCCCTTGTGTGGACCTGTGGGAGAAGGTGAAATGTGCTGTTTTGAATCATTTTTTTACAGTGGAAATACTGGAGAGGAACTTGAGAATTAAAACACAAAGGAGAACAAAATGTGTCTGCACCAGGGAGAGGTGAAAACAGTAGCACTTTCATTATGGAGATGGTATTTCTGGAAGAAAAACAGCAGGGGTGAAATATCCTGGAGTGTTTGGGGTCAGCATGAGAGTGCTGAGAGACTTCCTAGAGTAGTGATGGGCCGCCAGAAGGGGAAAGGAGGAATTAAGAGAACCCCAGCAGCATCAGCCTGCCCGTCATCACCAGCATTGTGCTGTGAGCACTGCCCAGCCCCCAGGGCTGAGCTAGGCCTGTGTCTGCTCTGCCACACCTGGGTGACAGCATCTCCCTAGGGCAGGAGCTGCACAGGGTGCACCCGGAGCCCACACTGGGACTCGGCAGCTCCCAGGTCAGTGGTCAGGGAGCGCCTGCACTCCTGAGCAGAGCCAGCGTCTCACAGGGTGTATGTTGCTATTGTCAAGATAGACATGACTGGCACCATCACTAATCTTTTACTAAAAACTTCTCATGCCTTTTCTCAGGGGGCTTCTCTCAGGCAGTTCCACACAGCACTGACTCTTTCCCTCTGTATGACTGGCTAACACCAACCTGTCCCTTACCCAGCTGCTTAACCATGTCTATCCCTCACACAGCATCTTCTCACTTTGTCTGTCCCTTGCACAACTGCATGTCCCTTCCTCCTCACAGCCAGCAGACTCCATCCCAAACTGCAGCAGACTCCAACTAGCTGGTAGCTAGCTAACCCACTCTTTTATAACACCCATCCTCATTGGACAGGCAAGGCTGTTTCTGCTCCTCGGTAATTAGTACAGCTGTAATTCATGGAGGAAAATTGCCTTCTGCACTATCCTTACAAACCATTCTCCTACAGCTGTGCCTGTGTTCATACATGTCCTGGGCAGCTGGAGGACAGTGCAGTACTGTCTGTGCTGCTGCAGGTCCCACTGATGCTGTTGAGAACATCTCACACCCTTGCTGCTGAGGCCTCTGCTGCCTGCAGGACCTGAGGGTGCCCTGGGGCTGCCTCCCCACTCTGAACAAGGGTGCTGTCATGTTCCCTGGTCCCCTGGCACCTCCCTGTGCCCGGGAAGTGACAGCTCCCCACTCTTGTGCTGCGTCCCCTCTGCTGGAGACATGGTCGCTTTGGGACAGACACTGTTCCCTCTCATCCCCAGGCCCTGTCTGGGCCCTGCCAGAGGTGTCCAAGGCACACTGGCCAGAGGGATGAGCTCCTGGCCCTGCAGAGGGGCAGGGGCTGCAGGACAGGAGCAGAACGGCCCTGTGCCGTGTGTCCTCAGGCTCTCCTTGGGGGATGGGTGACAATAGAGACAGTGGCATGAGCTGTGCCGAGGAATTTCAATGCCCGCAGGGTCCATGGCTGCCTGCAGAGGCTGGGCACAGCGGGATGGCTCCTGTCTGAGCTGCCCAGCAGGTCACTGTCACCTGTCATACAAGCAGATGTCACTGTGCTGGAGCAGAGCTGCTGACCAGGTGCAGAGTGGGGGGTCCTGGGGATGATGGGGAAAGGTGGAGAGCCCTCACCCAGCCCATGGTCCTTGGGATGAACCCACAAAATGAGGCACAGTGATCTGCTGGGGTCCTGGGACCAGCTGGGGGCCCCGAGGGAGCAGGGGGAACACAGGGAACAGAGGCAGTAGCAGTGATGCTGTGCCTGTGTCAGGGCTGGTGGGGGCAGGTGCTGCACAGGGAACACAACCAGCTCCCACCACTCCTGTCAAGTGAAGAGAGAAGGACTCAGCGCCGGTTAATTATTTAGATTAGAGCAATCCAAAGGGGATTAAAATATGCCTGGAAAACGTTGATTTGACAAGTGTATCTGGGGGGGTGACAGTGCTGCCACCAAGCCCCCTGCCTCTGGCTGGCCCATAGGGGAGCTTGCTTGAGGCTGGGGAAACTGAAGGGGGCCACAGCCCCTTCTTCTCACTGGGTGCAGAAAACAGAATATGTTTTCCTTTTTCTCTGCCTGAGCTCTGTAAGCAGCTTAGAGTGTGACTGGAAAAGCAATGGAGCTGGGAGAGGGAATCCCACCATCACACAGCCTCAAGAGAGGGAATATTTGATGAAGCTGAGTCCTGTGAAGAGAAAGCAGAGGCTGTTACCATCACAGATACTTCAGCACAGATGCCACAGAAGAAAGAAACCGGGCTTTGTAAAGAGCCTTTGTATTATTTCCTGTCTCTCCAGCTTCACTGAAGTGAAAATGAGGCATTTTTTTTTAGAGCGAGGGAAAAAAGAAAAGGCAGAACAACTTTTTGTCCCTGCTGAAAGCTTGGTGCTGTGTTTTAACTCTTCCCTGAGCTCATCTGCCAAAGACAGCCTCCTTGCAGGCTCTCTGGGCTTCAGTGCAAAATGGATTTTCTTTAGCAGACCCTGGTGAGTCACTTCTCTTAGCAGATATATCTGCTGGGCTGGCGGAGGGGAGCTCTACTCTGCCTGCCTGGAATCAGCATTGAGTGGCTGCAGATGAAAGACGCCAAATGCCATCGATCACACAGTCCCTGCAGGGCCAGGGAAAAGCAGCTGGCAGTTCTTCAGCTCGACCCATGTGCTACCAGGTGGCCCCTTCCTCCCCTTCGTTCGAGGCATTATTCTGACTCGCTTTCTCCAGCTAGGGCTGGCTCCAAAGCCGTGCCAAGAGCTCTTGAGAACTTTCTAAGTTCGAGCCAAGGCTTTTGCACCCCTTGCAGCCATCACAGACGAATGAAGAGCTCCATTCTCTCCTTTGTTTTACTTCTTCCAGAGCAGGAGCACACTAGCTTTGTGTAGGGCAGGGAAGAGCAGGAGGAGGGAGCAGCCCAACTGTGTGACACATCATGGAGAAGGGGACGTGCCTCTGCACTCCTGCCTCTGCTCCCAGGGAACTGCCTGAACAGAGAGCTCATGATCCGCCCTGGTAGCCCCGGACAAGCTGCACCTGCACATTGACACCTGTGAAAAAATCCCCCAAATAGTGCTTTTTACCTGGATTTTCTTATAGGAACCACAGGAGGGACCAGATGCTGATCCTTGCTGTGGTGGGTGAGGAAGACCACTGAAATCCTGCTGGCACATTCTGGGCTCTTGGGGAAGCCTCCACATTCTGGATCCAATGCGTTCTGGATCCAATCCATTTCTGGCCCATCCCCTCTGTGTTTAGGTTGTGATGCTTCCCATGGCATCATTCTCCTTCCTCTTGCAAGCTTGCCTGACCAGGTTGGGATAAGGATTTTCTCCTTTACTTCTGGTTGTTGAGAGAGAGCCACAGCTCTGGTATGGTGAGAAGGTGAGGCACAACTGCCTAAAGTATTCCACTCTCACCTACAAATAATGCAGGACACTCCAGGCCAGAACTGCTACAATTCACAGGGCCATGAGATTAAAGGATGTTCAAGAAGAAAACCCCAAAGTCCCATAAACTTCATACATTTCTATTTATTGTAGAATATTCTACAGTTTCTACATACATATTTCTCCATATCTATGTATGTATGGTACAAGGGGGAATGGCTTCACACTGACAGAGGAGAGATTTACTTTTGGTATTAGGAGGAAATTCTTCACTAGGAGAGTGCTTGAGCCCTGGCAGAGGTTGCCAAGAGAAGCTATGGTTGCCTCATCTCTGAAAGTGTCCAAGGCCAGGTGGGATGGGGCTGGTTACTTCAAGGGCAGATGTCCCATCACAGACTGGAGCTAAGGTGAAAATTTCAGACCGTCATCAGAAGATGAGGAGGAAGAGGAGGATAAGGTGACATGTGCTGAGGAGGCCCCACCCATATAATCAGCTACCTGAAGATGAAAAGTGATTTGTTCATATCACTGACAGTTCCTGCCTTATTGCAGGGATGCATTGAACATGGAAGGTTGCCATGTGGGGCCCTACACGGCAAGTGGCAGAAAGTATTGAAAGACAAGGTGGATCAAATCAGGCTGCAGAGCTGAAGAGGCTGGAACAGCTACCCCAGAGCATCCCCTACTCAGCTCTTTGTGGGTGAGAGAGGGGTTTGAGTAGAGTAGTGGAATCACAGAATCACAAAATCTCCTGAGCTGGGACCCACAAGATCATCCAGCCCAGATACCCCAACAATCCCAGCCTGTCCATCCCTGGCAGCGCTGTCCAAACGCTCCTGGAGCTCTGGCAGCCTCGGGGCCGTGCCCATTCCCTGGGGAGCCTGGGCAGTGCCCAGCACCCTCTGGGGGAAGAACCTTGCCCTGAGCTCCAGCCTGAGCCTGCCCTGGCCCAGCTCCAGCCCTTCCCTGGGTGCTGTCCCTGTCCCAGGAGCAGAGATTGGAGCTGCCCTCGGGAGGAGCTGCAGATGCCTGTGGGGGTCTGAGGTCTGCCCTCTTCTCCAGCTGGGCAAACCAAGCACTCTTCAGCTGCTCCTTCTATGGCTTCACCTTGAGATTCTTCATCAAAGAATAACCTGAGCTGGAAGGAACCCAGAGGGTTCTCAGAGTCCAAGTCCACTCCAGTAGAGCTGGGTGAAGACTTGTCTCCTTGGCTCCTCTGTACAATAGGATCTGTATTCATGCCTGCCTAGTGGAGCTGGTGTTACTCCCACAGACTGCTCCTTGTCACTTGGATCCCACGACCATTCCTTTGACTGCAATTTCACAGCATATGGGCAAACTCAGCTGTAGAACTAACATCTCCAGCACCAAGCTGCTGCCTGTGTGGGGACAGACGGTTACACAGGCAGCTACATTTATATGGAAGCTGACCTTGAGTGATGAACTGTGGGATGAAAATTGAATTAGAAAAATAATCAGCTTTCACTGTTGTTGTGCAAAAACCAGAGGAGCAGCCACATCAACCTGTCCACAGGTATCCCAAGGTAACATTCCATTCCCAGAGCTCTCTGTCAGCCCTGGTGTTTTGTGTCAATGAGGCCTGAGCACTTCTCTGGGATTAAGCACAGGCTGAAGAGCTGTGTGGAGTGGCACACACAGTAGGGGAGCTCAGATCCTGCAGCCTCATGTCATAGACCCTATTGTGTGTTTTATGGACATGGAGAGGCTCATGTTTCCTGTGCCTCTGCTCCATGCCAGGGCTGAAGAAACTGATCCCTGGCAAGGATGCTCTTGGCCAGCCTTCAGAGACCCTGAGGCTGCATGGAAATCTTATCAGCAGAGACAGATGGGGGTTTAAAATTGAACTGCAACATAAAATTCTGCTGTGAGCTGTCATATCAGTGGTGTTTTATCATGACATCTCTCTGTCAAATGCATTGCTATTGTTTTATATCAATCACATCAATGAATACAAGTTTTATATACATTTATGCAAAATTTCAATTTCTGCTTACATTGCCTGGGTCTTAGAAATCACATTACTTACATTTTTCAAAAGAAGCCTTGCTTTTTCCTGTAGGAGAACTATCAATAGTTTGATTTTTTTTTTTATGTGGATCACTTTCTCAGTGAAAACATTTGTAAAGCTTTATTGTCGTAGTCTATCTACTTCAGTGTGGTGAAGTCATAAACTACTGTGGAGAGGGTGAACTTGGCACGATCCTGCAGGGGCAAGCACATGGCTGTAATCAACCCCCATACTGCAAACCTCCTCAGGTCAGGAAGAGGAAAGCAATAATGAGGTGGGAGAAAGGATGAAAAAGTGGAAAGTGAGGAGCTGCTTCTGTTGAACTTCTTCTCCTTCTTATTCCTCTTCTTCTTCCTCTTCTTCTTGACCATTGTTACTATTTTCAGTATTGGTTGTTGGCATTTTATGTGCCCTGGAATTGTTCTGGGTGCTTGTTCTGTGGATTTGGCACAAGACAGACATCCAGATCCTCTGTGTCTGCCTGTGGCCCTCCTACAAGGATGGCCCATGCATGGACGACCTGTGAAGAGTGAATTCTGCTGAGTGCCCCAGAGGCTGCTCTATGTCAAATATGCCTTGTTGTCCTCCTGAAACAGCCTAGCTGTGCCCAGAGCTCCGGGAGGGGCAGAGAAAAACATTTGGGATCCCCAGGAGCTGCAGTTCATGCCTATTCATCAACAGGGTTCTTACCAGAATGGTGATCCTGGGTTTAGTCTGATTAGTGAGACATGCAGAGCCATTTGTTATCTGCTCCTCCAGTGATGCAGGCAGAGCACAGGCCATGCAAAATGTGCCAGGGCTGTGTAACGAGATGATAATTAAGCAATAATATGCAACCAGGGGTGTCAAAGGGTGAGACCAGAGCAAAACACGGCAGCTGCTGTCAGGAGGTGAGTCTGGGCAAGGGAGAAGGATTTTCTCTCTCAGCAGCCTTTATTTCATGGATTTCAGCAGAATGGTTAACAAAGAGCAAAGCCAGGCCATGTGTTCACACAATCAACAGCTCCACCTCATCTGCTGATCCCTGAAAGAGAAACATGAAGATCAGGAACAGCAAACTATGAGGAAACCCAGGTAGACTTGGGGAGGGCAAAGCTCCTGCCTGCCCAGGGTTTTCTGCAGGCTGGGAGGCAGAGGACAGATTGCTGTACCCGGGCTGGGAGGCTGCAGCACTGGGAATTTGCTGCAATTGCTGCTGTTTGTCCTCATCCTGGGTTTTACAACCTGGCTACATCAAAGTATGGGCTTTTCACACAGACCCAGCTGGCTCAGAGTTGGACCTCTTCTCTTACTGCTTCATACTTGGCATTACTTGGGCACCTTGCAAATTTTGTCTAACAGGCAAACTGCTCTCCTCCGACCAACCTCCATCTCCATCATCTCCATCATCTCCATCATCTCCATCATCTCCATCATCTCCATCTCATGTCCATGTCCATGTCCATCTCTCTCTCATCATCTTCCTTCCCCACAGTTCCAGTGTTTAGATCAGTCCTTCACGAAATTCCCTCCATCACACTCTTACTTGACGAGAATTCCCTGCCTGTTTGGAGATCTGCTATTTCTGTCCAGCACTCAGCATATTTACAAATGGGCTTTACCAGCATTGGCTGGTAAATCTGTGGCAGGTAAACCTGGTTTTAATCCAAATCTGCAAAACCTGACGTACCTGGACTCTCTATCCTATCAGCCACATGGGTGCTTTCCCTCTCCCCTGCAAATGAGAACAGATTTGCTGGAGCTGAATTCCATAATATTGTTCTGACTGGCCTTGATAATATTCCTAGCCTTTAATTCTTTATTAATTCAATTCTGTATCACCTTTGCTGCTTCTCTGCCAAGGACTGATATCGCTGGAGAATGTTACCCTGCAAATTCAGCCTTGACACATTAATTTACACTAAGAAACCCCATGTTTTTCTTCATTTACCCAGTGACATATTGAATTTGACCCTTTTTCTCCCTTTTTGTCAGCATCCAAGGATGAAACTGCTCTTATGCTCTTGCTGGGGTGTTAACAAGTGTTCCTGGAAATCTATCTCCCTTGAACGATGGTCAATGCTTTCTCTTGATACATGGACTGTGGATATGATAATGGATCTCAGCTTTCCTCAAGGAATGTTAGAGACAGTTAGCAACACAGTGTGTGTGTTTGTGTTCAACTGTGGGTGGTGTTTTAAGCCATAAGAAGCTGCCTCTCTCCTCATCTTGCCCTCAAGGCAGGAGTGTGCCCAGCGGGAATGGTGGCACTGTGGCATTGCCTGCACTTCTCTGGGTCCAGCTCCTTCCCCACTGCCCTGCCTACATCCCTCCCCAAACTGCTGCCCTTGAGAAATGGTACCTGTCTTCCTTCCAAATTTCCCATCTTCCTATCACTATGGATTTTGTTATATTAGTGCAACAGGGATTTTTTTCTTCCATTTTAATCTTCCTGGACATCTGTGCTGCCCCTGCAGCCTCTCTCCATATTACAACGTTTGCACCCTTGGTTTCTGTTTTCGCTTTGGCTTGTCTTTGCAGGTGCTTAGGAAGCCCAGGTGGGACTGGGGGCCACCCAGGCTCTCCTGCTGGCAGTACTGATCCCAGAAGTGAGCTGGGCTTAGCAATTGGAGCTGATACTCCTGGCACTGTAATTACATTGTGAAGACACTTGAAAGTTTCTGTTGTTAAATATTTAATGCTGTAAGAGGAGTAAGACCCTGAATGTGAATTTTCTGATGAATGTCGTGCTCACCTGTGGATGTGTTGAGAGCCTCCCCTCTCCTCCCAGACACAGTGACCATGAATATTCATGCTGTTCCCTCCAGGGCTTGCCTCCTTTGGTAGGCTGCCAGGAGCTACACTCTGGGAGCTCAGATAAGCAAGGAGACTATGGGGCATTTAGCAGGACAGGCGACGTGCTGAGAATGACTGTCACAGGGAGATGGTGTGACAGTAATTGAGACCCCGTTTCAGGGTTGTCAGTGTGTGCCTGCCAGGGACACACCAGAGCCAATCTGGCTTGCTCGCCTGGAGCAGGAGATGGGCTGTGCAGGGGCAGTGTGGGCTCGGTGGATGCAGGCGGTCCGTGCCCAGCCCACACTGAAGATAATGATCATTTACAGTGGCTGCTCAGTCCTAGGGCAGCATCACCTGCACCTGCTGTGGTACTGCAAGTCCTTTGGGCTCTGCAGTGAGGGGAGAGGGGCATGAACAGGCAGGGCTGGGCAACCCCCTTCTGTCTCTTCTGGTGGGTTCTTGGCAAAGAAATCTATGACTTTGCTTAATGGCAGCTCGAAAGACTGTGAAATTGGTTTGCACCAAATGGAAACAGAACGCTTGGGCTGTGTTTGCATGAGAAGTGGAACCTGGGGTTGGTGTGGAAGGACACTGCCTCAGGTGCTGCTGTGGTTCAATATGGCCAGGAAAATGCTAAAGCTTTATGAATTTTATTTATAACCTTGATTTTTGTCCTCTCTGGCATTACTCCTTCATCCAGGGGACCTAACAGGGGATGTTTCTGCTGTGAAAGGAA